CAGAGCTGCAACTCATTTAAAAGATGATTTAAGAATTGCATGTGCTCTGTTAAATAAGTTTCATCCCTTAATACAGGATCCTCCAGAAGCAAGTGAGTATGTAGCTATTGCTCAAAATCGGCTTAATGAGTCCAATCATTTGGCTGAGTTTGTAGAAACTCAAAATCTTAACAGAAGATGTGCAATGTTTTCTGCAATTGATGGCAATCATCCTCACTTGAAAACCTTTCCCAGTTTAAGCATCACTGATTTAAAACGCTTTGCATTAGGCACTTATCAGTTAAAGCAGGCGCGATCATATTATGGGGAACATATTCGATCGTCTGGGATATATTCCATAGAAATAAATACAGAAATAGATGAAGATGTTCCCCTTGTATTAGGTTTAAACAATTATCTGCTTAGAGGACGTATTAAGTCTAGACATGTTGGTGGACGCACCTATTTTGTTTACATTTTAGTCAGCCGTGACACCAATATAGCCAACTCACTAAGTTGTTTAGTTGGCTATTGCTGCAGTTGTATTGTAAGCAAAAGGACAGTAGAATGTTGCGCACACGTAATGACGGTAGTTTGGTACCTTAGCTGGGGGCGATTTAACGATACACATGCTCCAGCTACATTTTTAGATGAGGTATTTGAAGAAGGTATATAAGTCAGTTCTTTTTAAAAAAAAGCATATATATAAACCAGGATTAGAGCACGCTTAATGTATAAACTGCTGTGTTAATTGAACTTAGCAGGGCTTTAACTGGATATTTCAAACTCAACAGGACATGGTGGCGAGTTACAAAAGATATTTTAGGCGAAGTCACTACAGTTCCACTGGATACGGCATAACCCCAAAAATATAAAATAAAAATATCACATTAATAATGTCGATTTGGATAAATGTGTTATCAATAAATGATTATCATTATTAAAATATTTTGTCTTATTTATTTTTGATTCCTAAACCTTAAATAATATTATACCCATTGTTGGGTTAACAGAGCATCAAAGGTGCAGCTTGAGCGTAAAGAGAATAAGTATAAATAGCACTAATATAACCGCACCTCAACAACGCCACATTTATTGAATCTGAGATGTTTGGAATAAATAGAGATAGATAGCAGCTCACCAACGCAACAGTTTACAAATATACGCTGCCCGTTGATAAGATTTTACGAAGTGCATTCAATTTTTGTTTCACTCCCAGTCCAAAATAGAAGACAAAAGGTCACAACCTAATTAAATACAGTTTAAAGTAGTATACCTAGTAATTATTAAGTATGGTATAAATATCGAATTTAATCGAATCTAAATATGACATAACCTTAAAATGCTTACGTAATTTAATATTTTCTTTAAACCACTACTTAAGTTTCTAATGATATTTTTCCTACGCAATATACACCTGATTCCCTATTGTTGTACACTTATTCCAATAAGACGCAATGAAAAAAACTTAGCCCAACTCCCAAAGTAAAATGACCATTCTCCTTTACTTCAGATCCAGTATCAATCTTAAACCTTATTGTTACTTTATTACAAACTATATCTTCATACCATTGTTTATCCCCAACATTGAGTGAACCGATAAATACGCACCTTTCCTCATCAAAGTCCTGATTTTTGTTTAAAGATAATTCATTCACTGGACGTCTTTGATATTTATTAACTTTATTCCTTAAAAAACAGCCTACTGAAAAATGGCCGGTTTTCCCACACTTGTGGCAAATTTTTTCAAAAGCTGGGCATTCCCGGGGCTTGTGCGTAGTCCCACATTTCTTACATTTATATTTTGATTTTATTTCCAAAACTTCTACCTCATCACTTTTTTGCATAACCGCAATTTGTTTTTCATGGGCTTCAAAAATTCTTGCCGAAATGGCAAGCCATTTGCCATGTTAGGTTATTTTCTTTTAAAAATGACGCTTGGAGTGTTTTGCTATCAACCCCAAGTACTAGTTTGTCTCTTAACAATTTTTCCTTCTGTGTTCCAAACTCACAATTTTGCGCTTGTAATTGCAAGTTATTTACAAATGTGCTTATAGATTGACCTTGTTGGGTCATATTGAAGAAAACGTATCTTTCATAGATTTCGTTAGTACCTTTAAACACGTAGTTATCAAATTTTTTAAAAATCTCTTCAAGAGTGGTAGTGTTAGTGTTTAATTCAAATGTATTAAAGATTTTCAATGTTTCATCATCCAGACAGTTAAGAAATAGAGCTACTTTGTCCGTTCCAGTGAGAATTTTGTTTTTTGTTAAACTGGTCACGGTTAAATATATATCAAACTTTTGTTTAAACAGATTCCACTTTTCTTTCATGTTTCCCGTACCTGTTATTCCAAGTTTTTCCATTTGCAGCGCCATGTTTTAGTCTTTATTATAATTTTATATTAGATAATTAAAACCACACTTCTTCTTTAACAGCCGACATCTTTATTATTAAGCATAGACTGTTACATTACAACCATAGACAATCAACTAATACTAGATTACAGGTTAGCAATACAACACATCTGCCAAACTGTGTAACAGTTTGTCGGCAGCAGCTCTCATGATAATCTTTTATATGTATAAAAACCTATCTAGTTCGACAAAAAATAAGAAATAAAAACAATTGCACATACACACAGACACACGTAACTTACATACACACGCGCGCACACACAGTAAGAATTTTTCACTTACATTTTTTATTTTTTATTTTGAAACAATAACAATCCAAAATATACTAGGTATTAAACTTTCTTAAATAGTTTACCTCTTAAAAACGCTTACACAACCACGCGCACACATAATTATACATAAGTTAGGTACATAATTATACAGGCATACTGTAATATGTATGATGACTTACACCAAAACTTGCAGATTTATCAGTAGTCTAACACAGAAATATCTATAGTCTGTCCATTCTATTATTATCTTTTTGACAGATCGATCGAAGTAAAAATAGTGACACCCTATCACATAACTCATTCGATTTAAAGATATAATCGATTTTATGATAGAACATTGTTTAATCGATTATAAGTACCGAGGACACATCTGACGATGAGTCCTGTTTGTATGAAGAATCTAATACGTCTGAATAAATTAAAAATAAACTAAGAAGACTTATATAATGAACTTTATATAATGTTAATATTTTAATTACTTGGTTTCAACCACACAATTTGGTTGTACTCATTTATTACTACCGATTATTTGTAATCTGTGGCACAAAATTAGTAATCATTATGTGTGGCACATCACTAAGTGGGCGGTACCGGTCCATGAAGTACAATATTATTTGTATGACATTTTAATGTAAACAATACAAAATATCATGGGCGTCGATCTGTCAAAAAGATAATAATAGAATGGACAGACTTATAGTTATTTTGCGATCGGATAGAGCGAGAACGTGAACGAACAGTGATACGGGTATTGACAATAAAAGACTACGTCAGAGGGTAGACCGATATGTCTGCCATTAACTTCTTACCAGTGATTACTTCAGTTTCTCCGTGATCAATATACTTGTTCTTCTCATGCCTCTCCGAACAGCGGAAGTTGACAGTCAGCTCAGCATACGTCACTTTATCTTTTGCGAGATGGAATAATTCCGCGGCGCTCGAGATTCCAGTCCATCCTAATAGGTTCCTTCTTCCTGCGACCGGCGTCTGGTTTTCCAGCAACTTTACCCATCTTACTTGTTGCTTGTTGTGGGCCCCCGTTTCCGCACGTAGACTCCGTACTTGGTCCCTTGTGCGTGCAGGGTATGTTGCAGCTCAGCCAGCCCAGCTCCTTCCAGAAGCGCAGTAGTCTCTTGGGATTCTCACAGGCTTTTAGGAGCCTGTTCCTGAGGATTGATGCCTGGTGTTCTGCTACGCTCATGCATTCCAGTATCACATGGGTAGCCGTTTCATCTGCTTCCCGACATCCTCTGCATAGAGAGCTATCTGTAACACGTATGGTTAGTAAATGCCATCATTATTAGTTGTAAGAGGGCGTATCTTTCGTGTCTCATCACATGTTCTAGATACGCAACCTTACTCACTTTGATGGTATTGTCCCAAAGTTCGCGTTTCTTGCCAAAAAATTGCAGAATTACATCATTTGTAACCATTTAAGTCCAACTAACTTTTAACATTTGTCTGTAAGCCTTCATTTCGAATGCTTTTTTACGTCTTCTGGGTTCTATTTAGTAGTATAAATAATACTCGCATCCATGTATTGGACAGATATAATAATGCAGACGTAGTGCCGTCTTTGACCTATTGGAGGCCCTGGACATATTAGGATAATGGGGCCCCTAGGACTTCCATTTGGTGACTTAACAGGAACTAGGGACTTTGTATTTGATCTGAGGGGCTTGCCCAAAATGCCCACTGAGAAAGACGGGTCTGTGCAGACGCCTAGTACGAAGTGCAATGTGATCAATCGGAAACTCGTAAACCCAAAGTACTGGCGAGGTAGCAATCTCGTAAATAAAATACACAGCTGGTGTTCCACCACCCCCGACCAGATCCTAAAGAGCGGAGACCAGCTGCAAACCCTCGTGCAAAATATTTACAATACAAAAGGTATATTGCCATAATATTGACTTAAGTCGATTTGGTGTAATAGTGCCCTGGACTAAGCTACATTTTTGCTAGTAAGTGTCGCCGCATACGGGCCACACGCCACAGCCACAAACGCCGCCACGAGAAGCTAGAAGCGGCTACTAAAGTGGCTGAAGCGCGTGACAGTGGCCGACTAAGATAAGGGAGAGAAGGGTGCTGAATCGCGCGAGTGACGTGCGGCGTCGTTTTGTATCGGCGCATTAAGTGGCCGGTGCGGGCCACAAGAAGCGAGCAACGACGATTTGTAGCGTGTGGCGGCCACCGGCGTACCGTGTGTGGCGAGTCCATATAAAATGTATGAAAACTACAAGAAATATGCCGGTGGCGGCATTTTGTGGTTGTGGTCGGTGGCCCGTGTGCGGCGACACTAAAGTTTTCATTGGATAAAAAATCTGTTTCTAGATACTACGCAAATTCTACACTCCTGGTAACTGCGTATGCCGAGTGGTTGTGTACAAGGCTAGGCAGCAGGGGATCGTGGATTCAGATCTTCTTGCGCAGGTAAACTAGAACTAAGGAATGTCAAGAATTTGGTTGTGTGTGCTGATTATCTTATATAAAATCCAAGTTCAGAGTTTGATATTTACAGTGTTAGACATTACATATATAAATCTGCATTCATAATCGTCATCAGCCTATGCCGCACTGCTGGGACACAGGCCTTCTCTAAGGATGAAATAGGGAGATTGATTCATGACCCACCACGCGGGCCCAGTGTGGTTTGGTGTGTGTTAACAACTGCAGATACAGCCAGGACCAACGGCTTAACGTGCCATTTAAGAGGAGCTCGAGATAGTAATTTTTTGGTCACCCATCCAATGACCGACCACTGCGAAAGTTGCTTAACTTCAACGATCACAGCCAAACGCGCTAACCACTACATTTATTACAAAATATGCATTAACACGTCATTTACACAGAAATATATAACTATTGTATATTGTAAGTTGTATATAACTGTCGTAGCAGCTACAATTGACAAATGTCTTTGTAGACATTTTCTATTGACAAATGTCTACAAAGACATTTGTCAATTTGGACAGAGAAGACATTTCTCTTATCCTTTGGATGAAATAAGGAGAAAGGGCCGTGACCCAAAACACAAGCTCGACGCGCATTGGTGGGTGCTAACGACTGCAGATGCAGCCGGGACCAACGGCTTAACGTGTCTTCCTAAGCTAGGAGCTTCAGATAATAATATATTTTTTGATACATTGTCACTAAAAGACAAGCCTTGGGCCCCAGCAGTGGGCTCAGTAATAGACTAAATATGATGAGGTACGAGTATGTCTTCTACAACGTCATTAAATGAACAGTTGACAGAATTCTTCAGAGAAGAGAAGATGGGAGTGTTTGTGGCTGGGAAGGGTGATTTCGCTGTCGCCTTGTTCAGGACTCCTAGAGGTAAATGAATGAAGTGTTAAATCAACAACAAGATATCCATTAATAAAGTTTGAAATGTGTCGGAAAGCCTAGGGTTTTTCAGGAATAATATATTATACTAGCTGACCCAGCGAACTTCGTACCGCCATAAAAATAGAGGCAGGTGGTAGAAGAGAAAATTTAGGGTTTTTAGGGGTGTGTAACGTAGTGTTCTATCAATTTCCTGGGATAACATTCCTTCTAACCCATATGAGAACACTACGTCACAATACCCAATAGTTTGAATTTTGGCGCGAAGGCGTATTGCAGGTTTCAGAACACTACGTTACAGGTGGACAACCATTATCACTTAAGGATGTGAAAAATAGATAGTAGCCGATTCTCAGACCCACGGAATATGCATATAAAATTGCATAAAAATCGGTCAGGCCGTTTCGGAGGAGTATGGTAACTAACATTGTGACACGAGAATTTATGTATAAGATAAGGAATCCAATAAGGAAGGAATAATATACAAGTAAACCAGTCTATACTCTATTCAACATCCTCTGAAACAAACCAGAAAGAGGTTTTTCCATAGGTCGGGTACTAAATGCATATTAAATAATAATTAAAAAAAAAGGGACATTTAATAGACCTAAAACTGTAGCTTTTTCCAAACTTTGAATACATTATAATAGTACTAAATTGAAGAGTTGTGATATGCGAAGAGAACATAATGCGAAGAGACGGCGCTACCTTGCAGCTAAAGAAAGGCTAGAAAGAATTCGATACGGCCATCAGGGCCGCGTTAGCGCAATGGTCAGTGCATTCACCCGCATAGCGAAGAGTGCGGGTTCAAGTCCCATCTGCTGCCTGGTCCGCGTTGATTTTTGTTCCAGGAATATTTTCTTTATATTGTATTTTTTTAATTGTAATTCTATTCTCACTTTACTTTTCAGATTTCTTTATTAAGTTCTTCTTTTTCCAGTGCCTCTTCAATCCTGAAGGTTGGCCGTTAGCTTCCTGTATTCATTTCTATCAGCAGCCAGCCGGAACAGCTGTTCGACGGAGGCAATACCGGTCCACTCCCGGATATTCCAGAGCCATGACTTCTTTCTTCGCCCAGCACGTCTCTTTCCGTCCAATACGCCCATCATTATCATAATATAGTAGAAATAAACTTACTAAAGTACTCCCATTTTATTTTCAGACATTTTGATCATTCAATCAACCCATACCCAAAGATACTCATAATATTTTTACATCACCAATTCATTATTACCCTATCTGTTCTCCCAGGGTTCTATATGTTCGATCCGGCAGACAGGGACAGGTATGGAAGAGCAGTCGCACCCCCTTGCATTGGAAGAGCTAGGGCTTGCTTTTCCCAATATCCTAATGTTAGTATACATAATCCAACCAAAACCAATAGTTGAGTATACAACTTGGCTATCTTATTCCAAGGAATTTAATTTTTTCCCTACTTTTTATTGTTTTAAACTTTCATGGTCACTAACATTATAGTAATATAAGTTATATAACATAAAAGCAATCAAGAACAACGATACCTAGAAATCAGCCATCGCGGAACATTTGATTGATTCTGGTCCTAACCACTGGATTGAGTTTCATAACCCACAGATTATCTCGACAGAACGCCACTACATATAATGCGATTCAACTAAGAATAGGACCGACTGGACGCCATATTGAGATGTCATAGCTGTCAGTTCAAACCAAATAGGTAGAGTGAGCAAAAAAAGTTTTAATTTAATAAAACTTCTAACTAAGATTGAGTGAGAAAAAACATCAGATTTTTTTATTAAAATATTTTCTAAGATTGAGGAAAGAAACAACAAATTTTTATTAATATTTATTTATTAAGACTGTGAGAAAAAACATTAATCAGAATCTAGCTCTTCTATTCCGCTCATCTCTGCATTACCGCCGGAGTAGTTATGAATAATCATCCACCATTACTAGGTCACATACGAACATGCATGCTTTAGGTACGAACGAAAATTTTAAATCAACCATTCATAGCCAAAGCTCAATAAATGACAAAAAATATCAACCAATATTAATCATCAATATTTGTTATTGTTTGTTTACAAATGTGTGGTTTTTATTCTAGAATTAGCTGAGCGATAAAAAAGGGTTCCAAAATATTCTTTGCAAACCGTACTTTTCAAGCGAAATTTGACAGATGGAGGTCATTTGCTTTCCTTCATTCTTATTTGAATCGCATTATAGTTGAGTTTACAACTTGGCTATATTATTGCAAGGAATATGCCCTTCTACTTTATTTTCCGCCAGTTCTTACCATTCAACAGGTATCATCATCAGCCTATGTGTGTGTAGATACCCATTGCTGGAGCACAGGCCTCAGGCTTTTTGATAATTTTATCCCAGGAACCTTTCCGATGTAAAAAGTATTCATGTCTCAATTCAGATAGTAATCTAAATGTAATGTGCCGAAGTTTATCCAATTTTTTTCTGCTGTTTTTGCATAATTGTGGAAATATACAACCCTCTCAATAATATAAGTAGGATTTAACTGGCGTTTCCGATACCGGCCATAGTAACGCATTCTGAATATCTCCACTGTCTTTATTTATTTCCGCTCAAGAAATATAGCTATATGTGGCCATGAGAACCATAGTGACAGTTACAATATTGAGTTTATATTTTTTTCCAGTACAAATTTCTTATTTTGATAGAACCAGATTGATCTAAAAATGATACACCTAATATTCACTAGATGGCAGTATACTCACTGTTACGAGTTTTTGTCTGTGATCTAAATTTGAGGTGCCATATTGGCCTAAGTAAGATAGGCCACTATGGTTAAAAAATGAGTTAGGCCACTACGGTTCTCATTGCCTCATATGTTTTGACGACCTCCGTGGTCGAGTGATTTATAGATGACCTCCGTGGCCGAGTGGTTTGAACGCCAAGTTTCATGGTGTCGCTTGCTCGAGAGGTCCCCGGGTTCGAATCCTAGTGGGGGCAGATGTTTGTGTGATGAAAACGAGCAACTGTACTCCAGTCATGGATGTTTAATATGTATTTCTATATAAATATATCTAATGTACAGTATATGTATTCTATCTAAAAACTACTGAAATCATTTTTATCTAAGACCAGCTTTTATTCGATGCAAGAGTTTTTCAATTTTAAATAGTACCTAGTCAATTTAAGCAAGACCTTATTTATTTTTTATGTTTTTTAATGTTCCTACGTAATGTTATTTTATTTGAAATTATTATTATTGTTATTATTGAATGCTATTTGTCAGTGTTACTAATTATTAGTTAATAATTATGTTCAAGTTAATTTTAATTAAATTTAATTGAAGTAGATTATTAATATTATTTAATTAAGGACATTTTAAATTAAATTGCTATACCCTTTCAGGGTTCATGTGTCTGTATCTAAAACACAAGCCTTATAGTGCTTACTTTGGGGCTAGGCTAATTGGTGTTTGCTGGAAATATTTATTTATTTATGACAGACAGAGGGTTCCGATTGGCTACTAAAAAAAACAAATTTCAGGCGGTTAATACTTATTATGTTTCAGGTCCAAACCTTGGCTGAGAAGTTAGGACCCAACATACCTCCTGTAGTGAGGGAGAAACAAGATGGTGATGATGATGTCAGCCAGAAAGTTAGTTATTCTTGTAATCAATAGACCATGATAATGCCAGCACTTCACTTGGCTATTCGTGTTTGCTATTTGTGAACTTGTCAACCGTCTCCCTTTGTTACTCCCTATGGAGTACGATAAGCACAACCCGCTGTCAAAATGACGAACAGCAAATACGAATAGCTAAGTGAAGTGCCGGCATAAGAATACACTATTGTCAAATTTAGTTTTAGATTAAGCGAATTATACCAGAATCAAGCCCAGTGTTGAACATTGTTTAAACTCAAAATACGTTACTTAAGAAAAAATAGAAACTATTGGGGCCCTAATATATGTTCCCTGAGGAATCCTTTTTTGTGAATTGTATTTAAAACAGCATATAATAACAACAAGCACATTATATTCTTGGTATTTGTAAGAGATCTTTAAGAGTAACGGCCGTAATCGGAAATGTCCATTTTTAAATTTTTACTAAAGTTGTTGCTTGTGTCATTTTTGCTTTAACTATATTTGTGTGACTAGTGGTGTAGTGGTAGTGACTTTAAATGACATAAATAGATTTTTCGTCTATAAGTACGATCGCAAATATGTTTTTACTAGAAACAATGCTAAGCAACTTACTTTCACACAGGGAACAGAAGCAGAGAGCAACAAAGAAGATAAGAAGCCTGAAGAATCTGAAAAGGAGGTGCGTCTTAACATTAATTATTAAAGTAGATTTTCTTTGTTCAAGTAGATTATCAAAAAGTATTAGACACGTTCTTTCTTTTTTCAAATAATTAAACATTACAGTGATAATATTGATTTAAAATGTCGCATGACGTCACGCCTTGGTACAATTTTTACTTAACAGTGACGTCACGAGCCTTTACCTCTCAGAAAACGTTATCTCTCAGAAAAATCAACTTACATGAATCACATTTAAGCGCACCTAGCGACATCTATTGTAAAAAAATGCATTTTCTTCGCAATAAAGCTGCCACCTGAACGTCCTAGTTAGAGACTTATTATTATAGTACGATAAATTAAAAGTAACTCCTTTTAGTAATATATTTTAGTTATTATATTATATTTTTTAAGGTTTTTTGTTTAAGGTTCATTGTTCCTGTATATATTATTTTTCACATTTGTATAAATATAGTTACATGATTGAAAAAATAAAATAAAATATTACTGTTTCGTCCAATTTAATGAAAGTCAACAACCTTTCCAATTTTATTGTTTTCGTCTTACGAATTTTCGATCAGGCCACGTGTCCTGACGAGTTTAACATTTTTTACCCATTACAAAAAGTGTACAAGGCCGCTAAAGAAGTTTTCACTTCAAAAAAATCGAGGAACTAACTGGTTCAATAGTTTAGCGCATTCAGTCTTCATCTTTAATATTCTTTGCTTCCCAGGTACACTTCGAAGAACCAGCGGGCTTTGCTATTTACGGTATGGATGTCACCAGCTTGCGAAGACTGAATCAACATGAGCGATAAAATTCAACTTGCTATAAATTTTAATAGACAATGTAAAGCCAATACTGAAAATATGTGTATTTAGATACTTCTTAATATGCTTGCATTGCAATTAGACCAAGAATTAAATACAATAATATGATATTTAAAATAGACACAAATAATGCATATTTCAGGCGTAATTGTGTAACTATAAACTTTTGCAAAGCTTTTGAGTAGGTAGTAAGGTTGTTGGACCATGGAAGGCCACTCTAACGAATAAACAGTTTTTTATAGTTCATTTACTGGATAAATGAAAGAAACAAATTATTAATTAACACTTTGTTTTGGCGGGTAAACATATAAATTACTTTGTAAATGTAATCAACTTTTAATAATCGCTTCCAAACGGCTTTACTAGAAACAGGTGTCTAAACAAGGACAATATTATAAATCAGTTGTTCAATTTAAAACTAGAATAGTAATTATCGAAATATCCGCTTTTGTTTATCCGCCGCACTAAAACTAAACTAACTAAAAATAAGGCAATTATAGGTTATTTACATAACAAATTTACCTTTAGCTGTGCACGCGATTTACAATTTACCATCGACGGTCAAAGTATACGAAGCGATGGATCGCAATCATAAAATAGCAACGCGAGGGACTCGCCGCTGCGTCTGTGTTCATGAGTTTGATGGAGCTTAGTGTAAGTGGGAGGAATTTATCATCATATATGACAAGAACTTTTTTTTTATGTTGGCCTTCAAAGGAACATGGCCTTCCATGTTCCACCCACCTTACTTAGTCTTTTTGATTGTCTTTACTAGCTGGTGACATTCAAGTTAAAGATGTTTTTTACGTATTTTTTTAATAACGAAATTGTATATTATTCCATTGTGCTATCGTTAAGAGCTTTGTAAAAGTAGCATTAAAAAAAGCAGACATTAAGTAGAAAAAAATTGGAAAATTGTAAAAAAATTGAAAAGTTCTAATAAAAAATGTCTGTGACGTCAAGTCTTAATGCCACATTGCGTGAAGTATTGTGATTTTTTGAACAATAAATTTTGTTTAGAATACTTTGGTTTTATTTTCGTGAATTTACAATTTCTGCTTGTGCGTGCACTGCAAACTAAAAGTTCTAGCGCCTACAAAAATATTTACTTCTTCAAATACAGAAAATTGCTCAGAAGTTTTTAATAGGCGTATAATATAACTCTAGTATTTTATAGGCGAAAGTTTGCGAGTGTGTATATTTGTAACTTCTTCACGTCTAAACGGCTGGAGCGATTTTAATAAAATTTGGTATGGAGTTAGCTGAGTTTATAGGCTGCGTTTTACTGTCGGGAAAAAATATCCCTTATAAGTCGCGGGTAACACCGCGGGGCATGACACCCTGGATTTACACATAGGCTGCGTTTTACTGTCGGAAAATATTCCTTATAAGCAATGCCGGACTAACGGGGGCGGAAGGGGCTGCCCGCCCCGGGCCTTATCTTTATCACAGCTAGTATTAGATACGATTTTGTGAACTGTTGGTCGCACAATCGTTTAACGTCTCTGTCACCTTTAGCACGATCCATTATCGAATTCGAATAGTTTGCGAGTGCAAAATGTCATTGTCTAATGTGTACTGATTTTTAGTTCTCGTTACAACCGTCGTGGCGCTGCTGTTCAAGTTTCCATACAAATTTTGACATCGACATTTCGCACTCGCATACTAAATCAAATTTTTGCACAGCAGCGGCACAAAGTACGTAACGAGAACTAAAAATCAGTACCTACACATTTGACAATGACATTTCGGACTCGCAAACGATACGAATTCGATATTGGTTCGTGCTATGGGTACTGGTTTACTTTAAAGTTGGACAGGGAACGCTTGTCTATTCTCTGTCTATGGGCTGTAGGTATCTTCTAGGGCCCGAGCTTCGATCAACAGTTCTATAGACAACGGGTTGCATACAAAATCAAAGCTAAAAACCCGTAATTTCCGCGTATGTTTAAAGAAGAAGTAACATGAAGACCGGCAGTGGCGGCGCTAGGCGTCGGCGACGTCGGCCACCGCCGATTCAGTCTAGGCTGTTACAAGCTCTTGTGAAAGTCAAACGCTACGCCATCGGTTCGTAAATCTACGGCGGGAGACCTTGTACTGAGAAGAACCGGCAAGAAACTCAGCAAGGGCTATTTTTTTTCTCCCTGTTTTGTTTCACACAGTGTCGTCAATTGAAAGATGACATCAAAAATTTAATACATGTGTTGATGTCAACTTCCATCACATTAATATTATTAATTAACAAAAGTTAAGTATAACTAGGTACTATTTTTAAATTTGGAAGTTTCGATTAAACAATTTTCAACCAAATTAGCAAAGTAAAACGACAGTCTATTATGTTAAGCCCAAGGTGACTTATCATTTATGAAATCTTTTACAGTATAGTAACCTTTCTTAAGGAGACATGTTTTTATACACACTTTAAACTTATTAAAAGGTAAATTAATTATTTCTTTTGGTATTTTATTATAGTAACATATACCTTGACCCACAAATGAACCAAGAACCTTTTGGAGTTTCAATGGTGGCAATTTGAGTTTATCTTTATTTCTGGTATTGAAATTATGTACATCATCGCGCCTCGTATATAAATTTATGTTCTGACACACAAACAATATACAATTGTAAATGTATTGAGAGGCAACAGTCATTATACCTATTTCTTTAAATTTATCCCTAAGAGAAGTTCGAGATCCCAAGTGGTAAATAGCTCATATAGCTCGTTTTTGAAGAATAAAAACTGTTTCAATGTCTGCGGCCGTGCCCCATAATAGAATGCCATACGACATAATGCTGTGAAAGTAGCTGAAGTATATTGTCCTAGCAGTGTCGACATCTGTAAGTCGTCTTATTTTATAAATTGCATAAGCAGCAGAACTTAGTTTACCGGCTGGTGTTGTAATGTGAGGGTTCCATTAAAGTTTGTGGTCTAGTGTTACGCCTAAGAAAACGGTTGTATCGACTAAAATTAGTTTTTCACCATTTAGAATTATATCCGCCATTTCAACATGCTTTACATTCGGCAAAGTAAATTTCACACATTTAGTTTTGCTCGCATTCAGTTTTAGATTATTATATTAGAAGAGAACCAGTGAAGTACCTTGGAAAGTGCATTGTTTACATCGTCATAATTTGTTTTACACCTGTCAACGTTAAAAATTAGCGAGGTGTCATCTGCAAACAAAACAATTTCACAAAAATTTTCTACAAAGAAAGGTAAATCATTAATGTAAATTAAAAAAAGAAATGGACCTAAAATTGAACCCTGAGGAACACCTATTTTCACATGAGATCCGGCTGATTTTGTACCGTTAATATCAACTATTTGTGTCCTTTCTGTTAAATACTATTGCACTAATTTTTGTGCGGAATCTTTTATGCCGTAATGATTTAATTTCCGTAACAAAGTTTGATGATTAACGCAATCAAACGCTTTAGATAAATCGCAGAAAACCCCAAGAGCATTCTGCGACTTTTCCCAAGCATTAAATATATATTTTAGCATAGTGGCCCCAGCATCAGTCGTGGAACGGTTTTTAGTGAAACCGTACTGCGCTCTGTGTAAAAGTTTATTAATGTTAAAATGAGTCAACAATTGTTCTAACATTATTTTTTCAAAGATTTTACTCAATGCTGGTAATATAGATATTGGCCTATAGTTGCTAGGATCTTTACAATTTCCAGACTTAAATAAAGGTATGATTTTACTGAATTTCATAAGATCAGGGAATACTCCCTGATATATACATGAATAAAAAATATCAGCTAGGTAAGGGGCTATAGAATGTATAATATTATTTATGACTTTGACAGATATACCCCATAAATCAGATGCATTTTTCATTTTTAATGAATGGAAAACTTTAATTATTTTAAAAGAACTAACGTGCTTGAAATTAAATAATAAACCACACGGAGGTACATATTTTTGTAACAGAGCTGTAGCAGTATCAGACGATGAGTCCAAGTTGGAAGTAGTTTCTAATGGTATATTCATAAAAAAATTATCGAAAATATCTGCGACTTCATGTTTCGATTTTACGAGATTATTATTGATTTTAAGAACCATGCTATTTTCACGAGGCTTACACTTGCCACTTTCGCGCTTAATGATATCCCAAGTGGTCTTTATTTTATTACTAGATTTTTTAATTTTATCCCTAATAAAATTGGACTTTGCAGTATTACATATGCTTTTAAACAATTTGGAATATTTTCTAACATAGTTAATAAACTCAGGATCCTGGTTATATTCTTTGATTCTATAAAGCTCATACAGCCTTGTTCTACACTTATATATACCACTTGTCGCCCAGTCACAGAACTGCAACTTCTGTGTACATTTAATGGTTTTCAACACAAGCCTTATAGTGCTTACTTTGGGGCTAGGCTAATTGGTGTTTGCTGGAAATATTTATTTATTTATGACAGACAGAGGGTTCCGATTGGCTACTAAAAAAACAAATTTCAGGCGGTTAATACTTATTATGTTTCAGGTCCAAACCCTGGCTGAGAAGTTAGGACCCAACATACCTCCTGTAGTGAGGGAGAAACAAGATGGTGATGATGATGTCAGCCAGAAAGTTAGTTATTCTTGTAATCAATAGACCATGATAATGCCAGCACTTCACTTGGCTATTCGTGTTTGCTATTTGTGAACTTGTCAACCGTCTCCCTTTGTGACTCCCTATGGAGTACGATAAGGACAACCTGCTGTCAAAATGGCGAACAGCAAATACGAATAGCTTAGTGAAGTGCCGGCATAAGAATACACTATTGTCAAATTTAGTTTTAGATTAAGCGAATTATACCAGAATCAAGCCCAGTGTTGAACATTGTTTAAACTCAAAATACGTTACTTAAGAAAAAATAGAAACTATTGGGGACCTAATATATGTTCCCTGAGGAATCCTTTTTTGTGAATTGTATTTAAAACAGCATATAATAACAACAAGCACATTATATTGTTGGTATTTGTAAGAGATCTTTAAGAGTAACGGCCGTAATCGGAAATGTCCATTTTTAAATTTTTACTAAAGTTGTTGCTTGTGTCATTTTTGCTTTAACTATATTTGTGTGACTAGTGGTGTAGTGGTAGTGACTTTAAATGACATAAATAGATTTTTCGTCTATAAGTACGATCGCAAATATGTTTTTACTAGAAACAATGCTAAGCAACTTACTTTCACACAGGGAACAGAAGCAGAGAGCAACAAAGAAGATAAGAAGCCTGAAGAATCTGAAAAGGAGGTGCGTCTTAACATTAATTATTAAAGTAGATTTTCTTTGTTCAAGTAGATTATCAAAAAGTATTAGACACGTTCTTTCTTTTTTCAAATAATTAAACATTACAGTGATAATATTGATTTAAAATGTCGCATGACGTCACGCCTTGGTACAATTTTCACTTAACAGTGACGTCACGAGCCTTTACCTCTCAGAAAACGTTATCTCTCAGAAAAATCAACTTACATGAATCACATTTAAGCGCACCTAGCGACATCTATTGTAAAAAAATGCATTTTCTTCGCAATAAAGCTGCCACCTGAACGTCCTAGTTAGAGACTTATTATTATAGTACGATAAATTAAAAGTAAATCCTTTTAGTAATATATTTTAGTTATTATATTATATTTTTTAAGGTTTTTTGTTTAAGGTTCATTGTTCCTGTATATATTATTTTTCACATTTGTATAAATAT